GAGAACAAACATGAGGAAAAGGGCACCCACGGCCGGCAACATGGCTTTGCAACAGCTTACCTGACTGGGTCCTCCCAGCGTTCCCTCGCGTCACCAACCGGATCCCCCCAGCGGTCCCTTGCGTCACCAACCGGGTCCTCCCAGCGTTCCCTCGCGTCACCAACCGGCTCCTCCCAGAGTTCCCTCGCGTCACCAACCGGGTCCTCCAGCGTTCCCTCGCGTCACCAACCGGGTCCCCCCAGGGTTCCCTCGCGTCGCCAACCGGGTCCTCCCAGCGTTCCCTCGCGTCACCAACCGGGTCCCCCCAGGGTTCCCTCGCGTCACCAACCGGGTCCCCCCAGCATTCCCTCGCGTCACCTACCAGGTCCTCCCTGCATCTCCTCCGTCTTCACATCGTCACTGACGTTGTCCTCACAGCACTGACCCCGTCCTCACAAGACTGACCGCGTCTTCCCCGTCCTCGACTAGACCACGTCCTACCAACATTAACTCAGACCTACTAACAATGGCCCCGTCCTCGCCTGACCCCTCCTGATAACGCTGATCCCTTCCTCGCCTTATGACCTTGGCCCCGACCTCGTCCGACTTCTCCTTTACCTCGCGGATCCCTCCCTCACCTTATGACCTCGTCCATAAGACGTATCGTATTCTCGTTCATGAGCTCGTCCTCACAACCTTAATGTCCTCGCAATGTCATCCTCCCCTTGTCCTCACACAGCTGAGCCCGCCGCCAGATGACTGACCTCGTCCTCGCGGTCCTGCAGCCGCTGCTGGCGCTCCTCCAGCGCGGCCAGGCCGGCGCGCAGCTTGTCCTCCAGCGCCACGGCCTCCCGCAGTCGCTTCTGCACCTGCAGCTCGCGCTCCGCGTCGCGCCGCTTCCACTCCTCGGTTAGCGTGGCCAGGTGGGCCGCCTCCCGCTGTTGCAGCTGCGCCACGGCGCGGGCCCGCACGGGTCAGCAGCGGCGCGCATAGAGGGTACAGCATCACGCAGCCCACTGGGCCCAATAAACGGTGTCATTGTACGCCACTTAATGTGACTGGGCAGTCATCGACAAGTCGACGCTCGTGGGCTTTATCACTGCGCAGTTTTATCACTCTGGCGAGAACACACACACTGGGCTGAGCGACGGTGCAAATCTAAGTCGCTGAGGCCATTGAGAAGCGCGGGTATCCAAAGTACAGTTCTATTCTCGGGTGACCACATCTACTACGAAGACATGTCTTGGCTGGTGCGAAAAGGCCCCATTTCACTCCCTGCACGGACGAAACATGCCATGCTACGACGGGACTAAAGCATTATATCACTAAACCGGCCGCGTCGCCGAGGGAAGGACCGGCGGAACACCCCGCCGGACTCACCTGGTTCTGGAAGAGCACCTTCTGCTCTTGCTTCCACTGCTCGAGCTCGCGGGCCGCCGCGTACATCTCGGCCTCCAGCTGCACGGCTTCACCGTCGGCCGGCGCCACGGTCGCGTCGGGCGGCGGCGTCGGCACGCCCTCCACGCCGGCCGCCTCGCCCAGGCCGTCCAGAGACATGGCGACGGTGAGCTGGCCGGCGGCGGCGCCGTCCGGGCCGCGCACCGCGGTCACCGCCAGGTGGCTCTGCTGGAAGCCGCGCACGCCCAGCGACGACTGCCGGCCGGGGAGAAGGGGAGGTCAGGCCGGCGGGTGATGCCCCGGTGCCCGCCGCTGACTGGGAGGGTGATGCACCGGTGCTCACCGCTGACTGGGAGGGTGATGCCCCGGTGCCCACCGCTGACTGGGAGGGTGATGCCCCGGTGCCCACCGCTGACCGGGAGGGTGATGCCCCGGTGCCCACCGCTGACCGGGAGGGTGATGCCCCGGTGCCCACCGCTGACCGGGAGGGTGATGCACCGGTGCCCGCCGCTGACTGGGAGGGTGATGCCCCGGTGCCCACCGCTGACTGGGAGGGTGATGCACCGGTGCCCACCGCTGACCGGGAGGGTGATGCACCGATGCCCACCGCTGACTGGGAGGGTGATACACCGGTGCCCACCCGCTGACCGGGAGGGTGATGCACCGGTACCCACCGCTGACCGGGAAGGTGATACACCGATGCCCACCGCTGACTGGGAGGGTGATGCACCGGTGCCCGCCGCCTGACCGGAAGGTGATACACCGGTGCCCGCCGCTTGACTGGGAGGGTGATACACCGGTGCTCACCGCTGACTGGGAGGGTGATACACCGGTGCCCACCGCTGACCGGGAGGGTGATGCACCGTTACCCACCGCTGACCGGGAAGGTGATACCCGGTGCTCACCGCTGACTGGGAGGGTGATCACCGGTGCCCACCGCTGACCGGGAGGGTGATGCACCGGACCCAACCGCTGACCGGAAGGTGATACACCGGTGCCCCCGCCGACTGGGAGGTGATGCACACGGTGCCCGCCGCTGACTGGAGGTGATGCACCGGTGCCCGCCGCTGACCGGGAGAGGGGAGCAGCCGCTGAGCAGCACCGATCCGTACACTGACACTGGGCACAAGGGATCGGTGTGTATATCAGTCAGGAGTTTTACGATCGCCCGCCGCGGGGCGAGCAGACACGGTCGGCACGAGCGACCACGCCAACACCGAATCCCGTTCAGTCCATATCAGTCCCTTCAGAGAGCAAGGCCGAGGTTCAAAAACGTTTGGGTTAGAATGGTCGCATCAATTGTTTCTCGCAACATCCACTCGGACTGCGACAATGCCGCAGGCTGCAGGCTGCCAACAATGTAGCATGACATAAGCCTCGGCAGCCGCCCACGGCTGCTGTCTGTACCATCAAATTATTTGAGTCACCCTGTTTCTCACTTGCGGATGAAAGTCAGCATTGCTGATGAAAACCGATAGTATCGCACCAAATCGTCGTGAGATCCCAGGCAAGAACCTTTAGGAAAGACTGAACCCTCTCTGCAGTAAGAGCTTCAAACTCAGAATGCACAGCTCAGCTCCAAATGCTTCATAATTCATACCAACGTCGATGCATAGTTCCGCACGAGAGTCGGACAGACTTTTACACTGAGAGAACTCACCTAGCGAGGACACTGCATGGTCTTAAACCACGGACCGCCAAACACAGCCTACCGACACCAGCTCGCGCCGCGCGCCGGCAGTACGCACCGTCGTGTGGACGCGCTGCTGCTGCAGCACCGGGTGGAGCGGGACGCTGGCGCGGCCCAGCAGCTCGGCCGTGTCGACCTCCTCGACGCGCACCTCGACGGCGAACCGACGCAGCGTGGAGCGCAGCCAGCCGCACGAGGCGGCGAAGTTGAACTCGAAGGTGGCGCGCGGCACGGTGGCCGGCCGCCGGCAGGGCAGCGGCACCGGGCCCGAGCGCAGCTCACACGCGTCGCCGAAGTGCGGGTAGCTGAACCTGGGGGCAACGGCGGCGGCGGCTGTCCAGGCCGTTTGTGCAGCTGGATGCTGTCTGGGCTCCGGCAACGCGTGCGCATGACATTATGGTGCACCAGGTGCCTTCCTGTGGCGTCTGCAGCGGAGCACATCGTTATGGGGGATCTTCTGTGCTGCGTGGCATATGCTCACCTGTCGCTCGTACTCGCTCGTAACTGATATGTCGCATAGCACGAAGCACTTCCATATGGTTCATGTCGGGTACGAAAGAAAAAAATCCCTGGAAAACGCACACCACGCCCACCAAGTGGAGGGACAACCGCCAGAGGGAGCGACAAACCAATGTCCCACCCACTCCCACACCCGGCAGCTCACCTGAGCACAGCTCGTCCACGACACGCCTCCTGCAGACACAGCTTGCGCAGGTCCAGCACGAACCGGAAGTGCCGCGGCCGCCGGTCCTCGTCGGCGCCGGGCGCCATCTCGACGGCCGGCGGCGGCTGCGGCGGCTGCAGGCGGCGGCGGCGGCTGCGGCGGCGCGCGACGCACTGTGGTCACCTCCGGCGATCTGACGGGCGAGCCTCGGTCAGCTGGCAGCGACGGCAGGCGGCCGCCGCCGGCCTGTCGAGATCGATGCCCGGCCGGTCGAGCTCCGCCGCGCACGTGGGCGGCGGCGAGACCGGTCGATGGCGGCAACACCGGCGCGTTTGCCCGATGGTAACGCAAAATAACGCGCCTCCGAAATCGATGTGCGCCGCTGGGCACACCCAGTGTTGCGGCGCGTTGCGATGGTTACGTCGTGGGGCCGAGTGGAGAGGTCCGCAGGCACAGCTTGTCAGCCACGAGCTCCCGGATGGCCAGCAGCCCTCCACAGCGGGCGAGCCCCGGGCCCTCCCCAGCGAGAGAGGCATCAGCCCCGGGTCCTCCGCAATGGGAGAGACATTAGCTCCAAGCCCTCACCAGTGGGCGGGTCATCAACACCGGAAGTGGGCCAGGTGACCGGATGTTGGGGTGTCATTTAGTGAGCCGGCGGGGGCTAACTGGTGGGTAATGTACCCCAGCACCGGTCTCCATGTCCAACTCTATCATGCGCAAAGCCGACAGCTGGCGTGCCTTTTATCATATTAGCAGCCCTGGATGCTACATGCTACACTGGATACTACACTGGATGACGCATGCAGGTATCTATTATACTGATTAATAGGTGTTATAGAATATCCTTTCTCAGTACCAGGATAAAAGGTCCCTTTCGAACGTTTCACGTTAGCCAAGGCCTTAGGATTATTGCCAACTGCAAGCGACAGACGCAAGTTAGTTCAGCGAAGATGCCGAGACTAATCGCATCAGATTTTATCCTTCAGCGGGTTTTGACATTCAGGTGGGACAACCAAGACCCCATAATGCTGGTGCAAGTAGTCAATGGTCACAGAGCAGTGGTATAATAATCTGATCCAAAGCACACAAAAACTGACCCTACGTCGCTGCCGAGGCGACTCGAGCCCAGGTCCAGCGGAGAACCGACACCAACTCCATCTGTCGCCGCCGGCGTCTCATCCAGCTCCACGGTGCTGTCGCCAGGCGTCGCCGCCTGCTGCCGCGACGGCGGCTCCACCTCCCGTCGGCCGGACACCGCGCCCTCACCGCTCAGCTGGCTCTGGCCGTCGCCGCCGACGCGCGCGTGCGCCAGCTCGACGGCCACGCCCAGCGCGGGGGCGTGGCCGTCGGCGGCGCGCGGCACCAGGCCCGTCAGCGACGAGGCCAGCGGGTGGGCCGCCTCGTGCGCCAGCGGCTTGGCCGGCGGCGCCGTCAAGGCGGCCACCAGCGGAGCCAGCGGCACTGACGCGCTGCCTGCGCCCCACGAGGCGCGTCACGCAGAAGCCTGCCACCTCAGACGTGATACAGACACTGATGCGCTTCAAATGTCCTGTTTTACAGGAAGCACAATAGATGTGTAGCGGAGCCGAATTAAAAGCATGAAAACACTTTTCACACCTTTCCACACGTTACGGGCAAGCCAGTTAGCACGTTTCCACTCATTAAACGCTTTCTTTCCAAGTGATACGCCACCGCTAACAATCCGCCTGTTCCAAAGACACTTTGACCACATTGGCTTTCGCCGATGATAAGCATTAACGTCGCGCATTTCTATCACAAAGATGATGTCATGTAATAAAAGCCTGGTGGCGCGCGCGCGCGTCCGTGACCGAGCGGCGGCCGGGCTCACCCAGACTGAGGTCGCCGCAGCAGAGGTGGACGTCGATCGAGCCCAGCTGCTGCAGGTAGCGGCGCAGCACGGGCAGCCGCGCCCGTACACGCGTCACCGCCCGCTCCGCCAGGAACCGCGGCTGTCCGCGGCGGCACAGCCGGAGATCAGGCACCCAGCACGCCGGCACCGCGCCCCAAACGCCGGAGGTGGAGCCGAGACGACGGCCAGGGGGGGGGGGGGGGGGGGGGGAGACACCAGACGCCAGAGCTTTCGACGCTCCTACACCGCTGGTAGCGTCACAACAGCTAGGCTGAATTAAGAAGTGGTGCACAACGTGGCAGAGCACCGCTTTCCCCACTGGCGACGGCCTGGGCCATTGCAACGACATCCTTATTGCAGGCGACCTACCAGACGGCAAAGCAAAGCTGCGCGCCTTGAGGGGCGAGGCGCTGCCCATCCAAACGAGACCAACGCCAAACGATTCGCCAAGTCGAAACAAAGATACGATACAGCTGATAGCAAACAACGCTCACTAGGGATGATTGCACACTGCGGAAGATATTAAGACAGCTTCACCTAGCGGGCATACAGCACCAGCATGGGCTTGCGAATCATGCAGCAGCTCGCACCAAAAGAAAGCAATGGCCGCTGCGGCCTCCGCCCTGACCTGCACAATGTTGTTGAAGGTGTCGGTGACGATGTCGCAGCCCAGCAGGCTGTAGTAGAAGCTGAAGCCGGTGCCGGTCGGCAGGTCCACCTCGGGTGGGATCAGCTGGGGACACGGCTCATCATCAGACCGACTCACTGGGGACCCTCCCATCTGATCATCGGAGGGCACAGCCCAGATAACCCAGCCCTCGGGGAGAAATCAGCACGCTTATGGCGGCACGGGGTCAGGCCAGTCAAATTCCGTACAATCGGTGGGAGAACAAACAAACGTGGAGCAGGCAACACGTGGATCAATATTTATGTCCCATCATTTGTGGCATGCACCTCACGTTCTCCTACATCCCAGATGGAAGGAAGAAGCAAACATAAGATAACTAGCCAAAAAAGCATATGATAACTAGATAACTAGCCAAAATTAGCATTTTGCTTTCAAAATTTGCATTCTTTGTGACAAGCAACACATCAATCTTAAAAAATGTTCGCTGGAATCTACCCTACATACACCATTACCAATCTCTTCGCATCGAGCTGTTTCAAAAATGGAACATAAAACATGAAAATTGTCAACTCCAACGATTTTCACGTCTCCACCAAACGTACTGTCAATCCTGTTAGGGTATTGCTTTCCCCTCCCACACTCTGCAGAATTTCACAAGCTTCAGCGCACTCGCACTGCATATCAACAGCTCCAGATGAGCCATGCAAAACCTCACCCCAACAGCAGCACAGTCACCTCTCACCAGCCCGTCCGCCCCCAGCACGGCCCGCAGGCCCTGCCGCACCATTGCAGAGCCACCTCTCACCAGCCCGTCCGCCCCCAGCACGGCCCGCAGGCCCCGCCGCACCGCTGCAGAGCCACCTCTCACCAGCTCGTCCGCCCCCACCATGGCCCGCACGCCCCGCCGCACCACTCCAGAGCCACCTCTCACCAGCTCGTCCGCCCCCAGCACGGCCCGCAGGCCCTGCCGCACCACTGCAGAGCCACCTCTCACCAGCTCGTCCGCCCCCAGCACGGCCCACAGGCCCTGCCGCACCACTGCAGAGCCACCTCTCACCAGCTCGTCCGCCCCCAGCACGGCCCGCAGGCCCTGCCGCACCACTGCAGAGCCACTTCCCACCAGCCCGTCCGCCTCCACCACGGCCCGCACGCCCCGCCGCGCCGCTGCAGAGCCACCTCTCACCAGCCCGTCCGCCCCTACCACGGCCCGCATGCCTCGCCGCACCGCTGCCAGACCGGCGGCCGCCCCGCTCACCAGCTCCAGGTTGCGGGCGTGCACCACGATGACCGTGAGCGTGAAGAGCTCCTGCGGCCCGGCTGGCGGCCCCAGCTGAAAGCAGCCCAGTCGCTCGTCCAGCACGGGCACCACCGGCTCCGGCTGCGGCTCCGGCGGCGGCGGCGGCGGCGGCAGCTGCGGCTGCGACGCCGGAGGGCCGCGCGTCGGCGGCGAGTGCGCCAGCGACGCCGGCGGGACGTCGGAGGGCTCGCACGGCTCCGGCTCGCTGCCCGCCGTCTCCGACAGCTGGCGGGCAGGCGGGCGCGTGTCGTGATGGTGGCAGGCAGGCATAGCGTAGACGTCAAAGCGTCGCCGAACACGCTACGTCGTTTGACGGAGCACGGAGACAGGGTATCAATATCTGAGAGCTCACATTTTGATGGCATGTTAGCACATGCCTGCAGCTCCGCTGCATTTCTAACATGACTCAGTTATCCAGCTAGGAAGACGTCCAACACTCCGCTTCGATCATCACCGCGTCGCGAATCTTTGCCTCACGTCGATGGTGGGATCCAGGACGCTGCTTCCGCCCGTCGGGTTGGGCTCCAGACTGAGGCCAAGCTGGACAGCCGGCAGTTCATGTGCAGACTTGGGCCGGCAGCCGAGTATGCGGTGCCACTTCACTTCGGGCTGCGAGGAGACCGACCGAATCACGGCGACGGCGACGGAGACACGTGCGGGACCCAGCACCAACGCCACGCATATTCCCATCAACTATCACACAGGCGGCCCTCACCCGCACAAAGCATGGTCATTGTTAGAGAACGGCATATGCCCGCAACTATCTACGCACTGTTCGAGACCCGACGACTCTGAACACATCTGAATGTTCTGTACTTTCCTTGTACGCCGGTTTCAATAATTATCAATATTAGGAGCAAATGGCTGGGGTTCTGCAAACCAACTGAGCGAATCCGCCAAATGCCGACGTTTTCAAGTGGTCCCCGTAAAGGTCCATAGTATCGAAAACATGGCTCATCGACTCACACCAATAGCAAGACAAGAGTTCAAAACATCACCGACCCATGCAAAATCCAAGACCATTAGCAGTGTCCCACCTGATGAAAAGTGGGCTGTTTGTTCAGTGCAAGTCAAAACAGAGCTTCAATCCCCACTCAGAAACTGAGGTAAGCCCGAACCCTTTCCCCAACACTCACGCACCCGCACATGCACGTCCAGTGGGCGGTGCCGGGCCGTGCCTCCGCGTACCTCCGCTCCGGTCTGGCGCTCGATGGCGGTGCGCGTGTCGAGCACCACGTATCCCAGCAGCTGGCGCAGGTCGGTGGTGGCGTCCGACGTGGCGTAGAACTCCACCTTGACCGGGTTCTTGTGCAGGCGGTGCTGCTGCAGCGCCCTCCTGCGGCAGACGCGGCGGTGCTCAACACACGGCGGCTCTCACTCCCCGCCAGCCGAGGCAGCTCAAGGCCAAATCTGGCCTCAGGTTGTTGTGCAACAGTGCACACCATCAAGGGACAGATCAGGATTATCACTGTGTTCAATGCTCAAAGAAAGCTTTGCAAAAGCCCATCAGGTGATTCATAACATTTGTTGTAAATATGTGGTATCAGAATATTCCACACAAGAGGCTGAGTTAAATTGGTGTACACAGTGCGAAAGGCGGTGATGGGAGTTTTGAGTGCCCCATCCCATGCACAACTGATCACCCATCCTGTGTACCACAGTCCATTTTATCATGTAAGCAGTCTGTAGCCATTATCACCCACCTGTCTGTCTCCCAGGCAAGCTCACTGTTGAAGTCAACATGCGACGCCAGTGGCACTGGGTCCGACTGCAGGATCTGGTGGTCAAACTTAGCCTCTGCCAGCAGGCTGTAGCCAGGTGGCGCTGGCAGGTGACGCCCTGAACAGCAAGTGCCGCAGCACCATTAGTCATAAACAGCACAGTAAGACTGCTACTCCTGCTAATGGCAACAGCAGTCAGCACCATGCAAGCCCCAGTTCACTTGTACCACTGGTGCATCATGTCACATCATGACAGCTAACAACTTTCATCATGCAACTGATACCAAATGCTGCACCAAAATGAATGAAACACATCAAAAATGGCATCAAAGCCTGACCCTCACTTAAATTCTTCAGAGGTCTTGCTAAAAATGAGCATACTCAGAATACCTGGGTAACACTTTCCTTTATGTCAACTTAAGTCACAGTACACTCACCATCACATATGCTGAGAACAAGCAGAATATCCTCAGACATGTTTGCTGGGTGGGCTCAAGTTCAGCAGGTGTTTTCCAAAGCCATCTGAGCTTAGCACAACCTGTCTTACTGACACATCCTGCTCAGGATATAATGTAAAGTCTGTATGAAAAAACAAAATATGGAGCATGCAAGGACATGTGCACACATCACATTTTGGAAACTGTCCCAAGTGTTTAAAAAAGAAGGAAGTTCACAATCAGCTTATACACATATCTAAAGCCTTCATGAATAGTTCACAACTATTTTAAAACTAATTTGAGATGAATATATAACAGGTATGCATATTTGCAGTAATTATTTGACTTGCAATAACATGCATAATCTAAACTCCAGCACTTAGCTTCAGCCATCACCAATTTCAGAACAGAGAGAACCAATGTTTCAGGGAGTTATGATGTTGCCGGTGCAACTCCAAGCATAAATGCCACACATAAGTGACACATAATAGATATCAAGGAAGTGCATGAGGCTCATAATTAAACAAGCTGATCTGTTTGTGCAGCAGATGGGTTTAGAGCAGCAGGCACACACTTTGTCCACTTGCTATTGCTTCATTGTGGACAAAGTTGACCAATAACCCCACTGTATGAAGAAAAATAAAAATAGCCACAGTTTCCAATGTCAGTGCTATGCCAGATATGCCAGGCATAGAAGCATGTCCGACTGGAGCAGCGTGTGCCGAGCATGGCCGACGTAACATGTATTTTTTGCTGTCTGGGTTTCTCATGCACGATGATATGGTCCATATATTGGCAGAGTGGAACACATCTTGAGCCCGGTTATCATCAATGTCCCAGGATTTCCTTTCTATACTTTCCCAACGTCGTATCATTATCTTATCTCAGCCGTATTAACCATAACGCCACCTTTACCCCAATGCCCGGACCCAGCGCATTGCTCTAGGCTCAACGCGTTCTTTCACAACTGGTGAACCAAAGTGCGCCACTATTTAAACACACCGTGAACGTCAACACAAAAGCGGGTCAACAAGATGGCAACAATGAACAAAAGCGGCAAAACAGAACGCCATCAAAAATGGAGCTTCCAATAAATTTCACTAGAAATGGAGGGAAGGAGGTTTTTGATGGTGCACACGCTGAGCATATCTGTTGGAGGGGACTCTCATCTCGCACAGACAGTGCGTAACCAGGAAAAAGGGACTGAAAACGTCCAAAAGGACATCACGTAATTTATCGACAACACCCCCTCAGTCCTGGAAAACTCAGCAAAACTGTCGAATGTGTTATTGGTGATCCCGCGCGTGGGTGCTGCCATGTGCATCACTTCGCAAAATGACCAACACATTTTTCTGTTCTCTTTCCAGTTGAAACATGTCTATTCAGCCTCATCGCGGCCTTCGATCTTTGACGGAAACTCGGCAAGCATGCTCATAGCTCAATAAAGAGTTCCGACGGCAGTTTCGAAGACGCTTTTGCAGTTGTCGAATTTCATGTTCCCACGTTCAGCCAATATGACACATTTGCACGCAACAACGTTGCCCCGCTTGTCAGACTCGGTCATATGTGCACATGTTCCGAACTTGAAGACACTAGAGCAATGCCAAGCTGTGATGAAATAAGCCCACTTATGATTATTGGTATACTTTTAAATGAAACATACTGCTATTCACAGCACAATTTTTCTTTTTAGTAAACATTCTCCTCAAAACATCATGGCTTGATTGTGTCATCGTTCCTTGCACATTGATTGGGAGGCGTTTTATCTGGGAGTCGTGCTCACGAGCGCCAGATATGAACGAATTAACAATTGTATGTTTGTACTGGTCTTGGCCGCCGCATGACCGAACGAACTGAGGATTTAAATGGCATGGTATTATGACGTCATGGATGCCCGGGTGACCTTGAAAGTCTGCACGAAATAGTCACGCCCTTCGCGGGCGTGAAGCTTACAGACACTAGAGGTGTGTGGGCCATAAAGAGGGCAGAATTGTAAACTGCACCAAATGATCTTCTACAGCCCCTTTACAGTTCAGAACCCCATACAAATGTAGAACACTCCCTTAAATATAATATTGTAAGTCCGCTGGCCAAGCTGCCCGCCGGATTTCTCGTGGCCAGCTGGCACCGGCACCGGGCCGAGACCCATTCAGCGAGCTCCCACCTGGTTACGCTAGAACAGCACGAGCGCAAAGCCTGATCCTTACTAATATCAGCTTCTAACTCATGTCGATCCGCGGCCGGGCTATTTTTTTAAGACGGCTGTTCTTGAGACTCGCACCGGCCACCACCATCTGCCTGCTCCGTCCCTCCAATCGTCGATGTGTCTGTTGGGGTTATGCGTGCCCAGTTGCATCTTAAGGTCTAACTGCTTCCTGGCACCACGTTCACTTTCCACAGCCTCGATTCACGGGAAATGCATCATGTGCATGCTCTTTTATAGTATGCGCACGTTTAGGTCATAACATTCTGTATAAAACCGCCTTCCCGCGCCTTTCGCCAGCTTCCATATGCTATCTTCTGGCTGTTTTTGACCTTTCAGCGAAACTCTTGACAGATAATTAATCTTGAATGAACGAAATAAGAATTACAAAGCCGGAATAGTTTCGCCACACATACCCTCAAGCTTTGAGTCCCCCCCCCCCCCCCCACCGCGCAGAAGAGAGAGAACACAGCGCCACCAACGGTCCGGCGGCGAACTAACCCTGCGAGCTGGCACGGCACCAGCTTTGTCCACTCATAACATTTGCCCCCACCGGAGGAAGAGCGAAAGACTAGTTTTTAATCGAGCTTAAAACGCGGTTGCACAGTCCCGAGCACGAAATCTTAGTCGGTCGGCCACGAAGTCCACGAACACAAATCGCTACATGGGCACACAGATCCTTACGACGAATGACGGCTAGCTGATCTCGGCCGTCTACCACTAAGGGTAACACACACAGATGCGTCTTCGGTGTCATCAACTCCCATATATACCTCTAAATCTGCTACAGTGGAAGCGGCACTTCCACCGTCTCGCGCCTCGCTCCCATTTTTAAGTAGATGCGGCACCTGCACAGTCGCCTAGCGCAGCGCTCACATCGCTCGGCGGGCCACTCAGGGCATCCGGCTTGGCTTTCGGTCCCAGCATCTCACCCGCGATGGGCGACACGCGTCGCGAAGGGGCGACCGCAATACACTGTCTTCAAACTACTGCCATGAACCAACCTTTTCTTAGGGGAACCGGCCGCCTAACCTCAGCAACTGCAAACGGTTTATCATAACGGTTCGACAGCGTCCTGGATGTACCGCGTTTCACTACATGCACTGCACATTAGCATGGCATGTGTTCAGCACTGACAAGCGCCGCCGGCTCTCAACCAATGACTGCAGAGCTTTCTTCTGATTGGGTGACAGCCTCTGCTCGACACCAGGCATCGACTTTCAATAGGTACTGCACGCGATCCGAGCTATCACCAATCATCAGTTACCTCAGTTGTCACGGGCACGAGTGGTTCAACCCCATGCACAAGCTCGAACGGATGGTAACCAGTCGTTGAATGACGGGAGAACGAAAAGCTGACACGCTTGTGGGAGCGTAACTCAATAGATTACCTTGGAGTAAAACTTACCCCGACGTGTGAAGACCTGGGAAATATTAACTATCCGGAAACAATTGAAAGATTGAAGGCCAGACTTAACCCATGGTTTGGGAGTGGCTTGGCTGCATACGGGAAGGAACATGTCATAAAGTCAGAAGCTCTCTCGTATTTAAAAATCTAATGGCTGTCTTAGAGAAGACAAATCATGCGTCCTTAAAGAAGATAGAAACAATAATATACCAGCTCTTTTGGAACCGATCTCGAGATAGGATCAAACGGCCGGTGATGAAAAACCGTCTTTTCGTGGGAAGAATGAAGGTGCCCGATGCATCAGTACAGGCAGACAGTCTTAAAACGGCCTGGATAAAGAAGTTGCCTAATCAAGAGTACAACGCTAAATGGGAGAAAATACTGCAGCGCAAACTAAAAACAAATGCCGCAATATCATTATTGCAGTGCGATACCGATCTTTAAAAATGTTGAATCTTCTAGATGGATGTAAGTTTTGGTCAGAAGCATTAATTGCCTGGATACAGATCGTGCGCTCGTTACAGCACTAACTCTCAGCAGCAAACATACTGGCCAAAGTCACGTGGAACAACACTGATATGAACCTGTAACAGAATGTATCATTGAACAGGCACCAACTGATCCACCGTTCAGTCGTTAAAATGAACGACGACCTTTACAACCACCAGGACCGAAAGCTTTTTAACGCAGACCAATTGCAAATGCAATTCGGCTATGGGCATTACCTAACAAGGCGGTCTATACTGCATGTCATACCCCGTTCTTGGAAGGAAGTGCTCGCCCAGGAAAAGCCCACCAATGCAGTCCTTCCATGCGTGGGAACGGCGAAGTGGGGATATAGTGCGCTCCTATCCTCGGCTCATGTTTCTCTAACGGACAAGGCTCAGACGAAATGGAAACTGAGGCTTGCACCTATGGTACAGGAACAATGGACAAAAATATACAAAGTTCTGTACGACACAACAGATGACTTCAAACTAAGGTGGCTGCAATTTAGAATCATCCACAGGATCTTACCGACGAAACGCATGCTACACCTCTATCGGATGAAAGAGACGAATCAGTGTGCGCGCTGCCAGAGCCACAGCGAGGATATGCCACATGTGTTCTGGTTCTGCCCTGGGTCGCTAACTTTTTGGACCGACTTGAGCATGCGATTGCGACTCCACAGACAATTCACTACACATAGCGTTATCAGTAGCCTTCACAGTCCTGTCGGTCCGGTCGGACCACTTACTGAGTCCGCTATTCGACTGTGCTTGCTATTGCCGGATGGTGCATGTTGCTCTGCGGTGATTATCGCGGCGGCTGACAGGCAGCGTCCGCGGCGGGGGGCGACGTTTTCGCGACCCAGGATGGTGTGTGTGTCATTGTGTGGTTTTTCGAACTCAAGACAAGTAGAAATGTACACGTTAGGATGCTCGAGGATTAATAAAATG